AAATCCTAACTAAAACCGTTCTCTATTTTTAGACCTTACTTAAGCAGGTAGCTTATTTTTCTTCTGTGTTACTATGGCTTGCTTTACAGCCAATTAAGCCATTTGAAACCTCCACAAATCGTCTTTTGATGAAGCCTGTGCTTTCATGTATTTAAGCCTCAAGCTAACATAATTTATTTGCCTTTTCCGAAATCAAGTATTTGTGTTTCTTTACATTTTAGTCACTCAGCATTTTTTTTTTAAATCAAGATTCTGAGTTATACACATTATTCTGCCTGGAGCAGTTTGTTTTATTGTTGCTGTCATATACTTACACAATTTGAATGTATCGTAAAACCCCAAAGTAAAATAAAATAAAGGGAAAAAGACTTTGTTGCATAAGATGGTGGAAACATACTACTCAGTTTCTTCTCTTGTTATTACTCTAATTAGGCTCATAATTGCAAATGTTGGTGCAAAGAACTGACCATAGGACCCTTGTGCATGGTTATCTGGAAACTAATTCCTTTCCAAAATTACAGTTACCTCTCAGGATACCTATAATTTAATCAATCGTCATAATTTGTCCCTAGAAGGTGTTTCTTGATGTAGCTAGTATTAAAAATTAATAGAAGTGAAACTGAACAGGCAAAACAGTCCAATCAAACTACAAGTTCATAAGCTAAGTTGGAATTTGAACACTCACTTGGAGTCTGCATGAAAAGTACTGTGCTAGACTTTGAAGGGAAATATTTCATATCCACACAAATTCTTCAAAATCACTGACTAAAAGACGATCTATTGTATAATGTACAAAGTTAAATAAGATACAGTTCTGTCTCGAGAGTTTTCCCAGGCAATGTAGTTATCTATTTTTGTTGTTTTGTATCTTGAAAACCTGTCAGAAGAATTTGGATTTTAAGCAAATTACTAGATACAGAAAAATACTTGTAATTTTAGGGAGACAGAGAGAGCTATGTTGTGAATAATTAATTTGCTGATAAGTTAATTCCCATAAAGTAAAATAAAAATAAACCCTGGGGCAGCTAGGATGACTATATTGGGGATTATATTAAAGCCATTAAACAAAGCAGAAAGGATGCGAGAAGTTACTGAATACAGAAGATTGCAGGAAAGAGTTTGAAGTAGCTCTGATATATGTTAATATTTTCTGGAAAATCATTAGTAAACTTGTGAATTCATTGAGCATCAATTTTGGGGGAAAATTGTAGAGTTCCATCTGGATCTTTTTGAAGCTGTTGTTCAGTAGGATAGAATTGGCTTCAACTCAGTGTGACACAACAGGATGAGAGCTGCCTGATACTGTACCATCCTCACAATCACTGCTTGGACGTGTTTTTCACTTTGTTTTTGGTGAAAACTTTAGAGAAATTTGGTTTTTAATTAAATCATCTATACACACTTTCTCCCCTCCTTAATTCAATTTGTAATCCATGTCTTGTTCCAAATGTTTAATTGTAGTACATATAATGTTGAATTATTCATTCTTCTCAGATACTCTTTTTCTTCACCTTTTCTAACATAATGTTCATTATCTATCCATTCTTTTCCTGTTCTCCTCTTGTGTCTATTCCATTAATATAACTGTGGACCTATGAAGTAATTGTTCTTTTTTGACTGAGATATTTCACTCAGCATAATGTCTTCCAGACTCATTTATGTTGTGTTACGTTTTACAAGTTTTAATCAATTTTGGTTAAGGTTTTTCTTTTGTGTCCCTGGCCCTCTATTAAGAATTATGTACTTTTCCAGTGATTGGCCTCTCCTGATAATAGGCTAAAAGTACGTGTATGAAGTCTCACCATCTTTACCTCCAGGAAACATTCCTGTTATACTTTTCCAAAAACAGATTTTCTGGACTTCTGACACCTCCTGGTGTATTCAGTATTATTCACTGACAATTCTGATGCATTAAATATTCTTTTTTAAAATTTTTTTTTATTTTAACAGTTCCGTTTTTTATTATTATTAAATTTAATTAGTTTCAATGAACATTCACAGGGATTCTGGGCTTTCACTCCTTCATTGCCGCACCATTCTCTCTACCCTCCTCCCCAGTTTGTTCTTCTTCCCCCGCCATCCGAATGTCTGTTTTAATTGTCCAATTGCCACAGTGCTTGTCAAAGTCAGTTCTGATTAATCTCCTTTGTCGGTGTGTCCTTTGCCATTCCCTATCACTCCTCCCTGAGAGAGACTTCACCCTGAGTCATAAGGAAAAGGGGATGGCGTATTCTCTTAGCTACTTCCTGCTGAAAAGGGACGCTGTGGGTTTCAGGGTGAAGATCTTCTCTCATTACTCTAAATGGCCCCTTTGGCAGTAGGAAACACATAGACTATTATGGAGATTGATTTTGGAATTTAGATGCACTCTTATTCATTGTGCTTGGCCGTACATGCTCATATCCTTGAAGATGTATCATGGGGGTGTTGCAACCTAGAAGACACAAATTTGACTAACAAGTTATAAGTACATGAGTCAAAAATTATGGAAAAGTAAAAGAAAGGATTCTTTCATTGTTTTACAAACCCTCCCCCAGGTCCCCTCCACCATGTAGCCCTCGCTCTAGACTCCTGTGATGACAGAAGTTCCTAGTCATATATCTCTTTTAAACAGTTTTCTCCCTCCTCTGTTTCAGTGCGGTATACATTATTGAACCCATCTTACTCAGTCTCTCCCCAACCCCAAGGACAAATATTCTTAACTAACACCACAATTAAAAGGCATTTTTTCCTCTCTCTCTTCCTTGTTCATCACATAACTTATGCAAATATGTTGGAGAAAATAAACACATCATGGCTTGAGCCAAGTGGACCTTAGTTATAAAAATGAACTATAAGTCATTTGCAGTAGATTTTCAATCCATCATTTGATTTCTTGATTCTGTGTTTACTGATGTTTATTATGTATACAAGTAAGTTGAAATCTTTGACAATTTCCCCATTTTCACTATGGCATGGAGTTATGCTTCCAACACAAAGGCAGAGGGTTAAAGTTCACAAATGTTCAACAGGATAAAGATGAGCAGTCTCTTTCTATGTAATTTATTGTCTCTGAAAATTATCTGGATGATAAACTACAAGATGATCCTGACTCCATGACACATAACAGCAACAAATCATGATGTTAAAGATCTCTGGTGGCCTAATAGGACAGGAGTTCCAACCTAAAAGCAGATAATTTGAATTTATTAGCTGCTTCATGGATTTTGAAAGTGGGAACTAATTCTGAAAATAATTTTGTTCTTATTATTTTGTTTCAGTTCCTGAATTGTTTGAGTTATAATAAAAGAAGAAATTAGAGTAAAAATAGAAAAAATAAAAAAATATTAAGAATATCTTTTGTTTGATGTAATACTAATAAATATTTGGAAATATCTTTGATAGCTTAGTTCTTAGATTTAAGCAATATTTTTAGTGCATTCAAAATAACCAGATATTAAATCTCATTTTGAAATAAAATATTTACCAAGTATCCACTGCATGTGATATGACTAGAACATAAATAATTTCAAGACCACTAAAATGTAAGGTAGCAGTGATGTTAATCACATACTGCTCTCGTAGCAGTTATTGTCTCTTTGGGCTTTATTCCCAGTAGTGGAATTGTATTGGGTCAAATGGTATCTTTATTTGCAAATTTTTGAGAAAGCACCATACTGCCTTCCATAGTGGTTGCACCATTTTACACTCCCACCAACAGTGAAGGGTTCCAGTTTCCCCGCAACCTTGCTAGCATGTTATGTTTGCTGTTCTGTTTAATTTCTGTTTAAGCTTACTGGGGTGAGATGATATCTCATAATTGTTTTGATTTGTATCTCTCTTAGAGCTAAAGATTTTGAACATTTCTTCATGTGTTTGTTGCCATCTGACTGTCTTCTTTGGTGAAGTATCTGTTCATATTCTGTGCCCAGTTTTCAATCGGGTTATCTACCTTCATCTTGTTGTGGTGGTCAAGTATTTTATAAATTCTAGATATAAGTCCCTTATCTGATATGTCATTACCAAATATTTTTTCCTAGTCTGTCCTCCCTTTTTACCCTGTTGGAGAAGGTTTTGGATGGGCATAGGGATTTGATTCTTAGAAGATATCAGTGGCGGGATATAAGATCAACATACAAAAATCAGTTGGATTTGTCTTCAGTGACAAAGAGAATACAGACAACAATACCCTTCACAATAGTTAATCAGAAAATAAAATACTTGGGAGTAAACCTAACCAGAAGCACAAAGGATGTATTTAAAGAAAATTACAAAACATTACTACAAGAAAGAGACTACAAAAAGAGACCTGGAAAAGTAGACGAATATCCCATGCTCATGGATAGGAAGACACAATATTGTGAATATGACAATGCTAACAAAGGAAATTTACACATTCAATGCAATCTCAATACAAATACCAATTCCATTCTTTAAGGAGATGGAAAAGGCAATCTCCAATTTCATTTGAAATGGAAAAAAGGCCCCGAATAAGCAAAGGAGTTGAAAAAAAAAGAAAAACAAGGTAGGAGGCATCTCACTCTCTGATTTAAAATCCTACCACACTGCCTTGGTGGTCAAAGCAGTGTGGTACTTACTGGTACAATGACAGACACGTAAATCAATGGAATAGAATTGAAAATCCAGAAATGAGCCCATCTACTTATTGTCAACTGATTTTTGACAAGGAGATGAAATCAGGTAATTGGGGAAATGACAGTCTTTTTTAAAAATGGTGCTGATAAAATTGGAAAACTATCAGTAGAAAACTCAAGAAAGATACACACCTCACTCCAGACACAAAAATCAGCTCTAAGTGCATCATGAAACTAGTACTAAAACCAAGGACTGTAAACTTCACTAAAGAAAAGCTTGGGAGAACTCTAGAAGTCCTAATCCACAACATAAACAGTGTGTCAAGCATCCTGAAAAATCTATAACCATGTTTTTTTAAAAACTGAGAAGAAGAGGAAAAACGAGAGGGAGACGGACGTTGAGAGAACGAGGAGGAAGGCGAGAAAATGGCGTCCACGGATTACAGTACTTACAGCCAAGCTGCAGCCCAGCAGGGCTACAGTGCCTACACTGCCCAGCCCACTCAAGGATATGCACAGACCAGCCAGGCATATGGGCAACAAAGTTACGGAACCTATGGACAGCCCACTGATGTCAGCTATACTCAGGCTCAGACCACTGCAACCTATGTGCAGACTGCCTATGCAACTTCTTATGGACAGCCTCCTACTGGTTATAGTACTCCAGCTGCCCCCCAGGCCTACAGCCAGCCTGTCCAGAGGCACGGCACTGGTGCTTACGATACCACCACTGCTACAGTGACCACTACCCAGGCCTCCTATGCGGCTCAGTCTGCATATGGTACTCAGCCTGCCTATCCAACGTATGGGCAACAACCAGCAGCCACCGCACTTGCAAGACCACAAGATGGTAGCAAGCCTGCTGAAACAAGCCAGCCTCAGTCTAGCACGGGAGGTTACAACCAGCCCAGCATGGGGTATGGACAAAGTAACTACAGTTATCCCCAGGTACCTGGAAGCTACTCCATGCAGCCAGTCAGCGCACCTCCGTCCTACCCACTTACCAGCTATTCCTCTTCACAACCAACTGGCTATGATCAAAGCAGTTACTCTCAGCAGAACACCTATGGACAGCCAAGCAGCTACGGACAGCAGAGTAGCTATGGGCAGCCAAGCAGCTATGGACAGCAGAGTAGCTATGGGCAGCCAAGCAGCTATGGACAGCAGCCACCCCCACTAGTTACCCCCCCCAAACTGGATCCTACAGCCAGGCTCCAAGTCAATATAGTCAACAGAGCAGCAGCTACGGGCAGCAGAGTTCATTCCGACAGGACCACCCCAGTAGCATGGGTGTTTATGGGCAGGAGTCTGGAGGATTTTCCGGACCAGGAGAGAACCGGAGCATGAGTGGCCCTGATAACCGGGGCAGGGGAAGAGGGGGATTTGATCGTGGAGGCATGAGCAGAGGTGGGCGGGGAGGAGGACGCGGTGGAATGGGCAGCGCTGGAGAGCGAGGTGACTTCAATAAGCCTGGTGGACCCATGGACGAAGGACCAGATCTTGATTTAGGCCCACCTGTAGACCCAGATGAAGACTCTGACAACAGTGCAATTTATGTGCAAGGATTAAATGACAATGTGACTTTAGATGATCTGACAGACTTCTTTAAGCAGTGCGGGGTTGTTAAGATGAACAAGAGAACTGGGCAGCCCATGATCCATATCTACCTGGACAAGGAAACAGGGAAGCCCAAAGGCGATGCTACAGTGTCCTATGAAGACCCCCCGACTGCCAAGGCTG